AATAAAAATGACCAGTGTTAGGGAGGATGTGTAGCAACTGGAACTCTCATTTATGGCTGGTGGGAATATAAAATAATTCTTTATTAGAAACAGCCAAATAATTCTCCAAGGGTAAATAACCATCCTGTGACCCAGAAATTCCACACCTAGGTTCTTTATGCCCAGAATATCCTTTCTGCTTTTCTGTGCCTGGCAAAACTTTACCCCTCTTTCAAGAGTTTGCCTGAGTGACACCACCCTCGAGAAGCCCCGGTTATTTCTGTGCTCTGAATTAGTAGCACTAAGAATTTGTAAAGTACTTACCTTTTACATAGGACTTTTCTTTTTTGTCTACTGTATTATTTAGTCTTTGCAACAACTTTGATAATATTGGAAGGTTACTGGAAGCCAGGTTTCTCATTATCACAGAAGTGAAAGGGAGAAAGGCAGAACGAAGCCTGTTTTATTGGCTGAAACAAAAGGTACTGAAAGCTACTTTACAGATACGGAAACTGAGGCCCAGGGCACAGGAGGTGAGCCGGGAGCACCTGCTGTGTCCCACCCTCTGTGCCAGATTCCTTGTCTTGGGTGATCTCATTCAGTGTCTGCAAGAACCTTTTAAGAAAAGGGCTATTTAATTCATCTTGCAGATGAAGAAGACTCAGACAAAGAAGATAAAAAAACCTGTCACACTGCAGGTAAGTGGCAGACTAGAGGCCACTCTGCAGATGAGCTGCAGACTAGAATCCAAGCCCACTTTTGTCTCCAAATCTGATTTCTAGACACAGCGTTCTCAGGCAGTCAGCCAGCCAAAGGTTTAAGGACCTGTCATGGCATTTGTGGAATCACAGAGGTAGCCTGTCAGCCAAGACGGTCTAAGAGGGCGTCAGGTCAGTCCTGCCGAGGAACATGGCCAAGGAGAAGGCTGCCCACCACTCAAGCAGCTTGTGATCTCCCCAGCTGGCCTCCTGAGACTCCTTAAATCCGTCCCCATCCATAGCACCAACCGAGAAGACCAGCACTAGTTAGGCCCGTAATTAGAAGACGCTGCTGAGTCCCTCGTACTGATGGTAGCAGTGCTCTCCCCTCTCTGAATTTTTCTGAGTTATTGATGGATTGTGTCAGCTGTTTCCTTCTGTTCCTCTGTTGGCCTGTGTCTTGTCAAAATAAAAAAATGTGTATTTTTTTAGGATGTCACAAGACAATCCATCTAACCACTCTACCATTCTTATTACCCAGTGATAATAACCACAGTGGTAATAGTGGTAGTAACAGCTAATTTTTTCAACTCTTACTACACGCTGTGGACTATGGAAAGATTTATGTGTAAACCAGTAGAAAGATACTCTGACAGTCCCATTTTACAGATGAGAAAACATGCTAAGAAATGGTCAGCCATTTGTCATTTAGTAACTGGAAAAAATATGAAAATCTGGCAAATGGATTTCTTGTTCATGTCACACTAGTTTAAACATTGGCTAAGGTGTCAGGTTGCCAAGTGCTAAATCCCAAAACTAATAAATTTAGTAATCACATTTATACATTTAATGTCAAACAGAACAAGTTTGTGTTTTATTTTTAAATAGTTTTCTTTTTTCAGTTATGTCATTAACTGGCTTTTTTGCTTAACCAGTTTTCTCTTTTAGATTTACCCATGTTATGTTTATCCATAATTTTTTCTTCCTTATGAATGAATAGTATCGCAGTGCATGAATTTACCATAGTTGTTTTATCCGGTCTCCTGTTGGTGGACTTTTGGGTTGTTCCCACTGTCTGGCTGTTCTGGATAAAGATGCTGTGAACATTCCTAGACGACTTTTGTGTGGATTTATCTTTTCATTTTCTTGGGTAAACACCTAAAGGTGGAGTTGCTAGGTCAGGGTGGAGGTGTTTCTTAAGCTAAGAAACTGCCTTAAGTTTTCCGAAGTGGCTGTGCTGTTTACAGCCTTGTCAGCTTGTGTGGAAGCTCCTGGTGCTCCACGCTTCACCAAGGTTTGAGGTTGGTGATGTTTTTAACTGTTGTAGTGGGTGTGTCGCAGTGTGTCACTGCGGGTTTATTTACCCATGCTGCTGGACGCCTTCCCGTTCATACATTTCCTTCTGTGAGATGTCTGGTAAGTCTACACTTGACCTGGTTGTTTATCTTTTTCTGTTGACTTGTATCGGAATTCTTTGTGTACCCTGCATACAAATTCCTTGTCGGGTATTTGCTGCAAATACGTTTTCCTGTTCTGTGGCTTGTATATTCATTTTCTTAAAGGTGTCTTTTGATGAACAGAAACTCCTAATTTTGAGGAAGTCCAGTCTATCCCAAGGGAGCCAAGATACCCTTTTTTGTTTTCTTCTGGAATCTAGAGTTTATGTTCAGGCCTAGCATCTATCTCGGGTTAGTTTTTTTGATATAATGGATGAGGCTGAGGTTCATTTTATCTGTGTAAGTATCCACTTATTCCTGCAATATTTGGACTTTCTTTTCCTCGTTAAATTGATCTTGCATTCCGTCAAAAATCTCTCAGCCCTGCATATATACCTGTTTCTGGACTCTCTGTGCATATCGTTGACCAGACTGTTCTTAATCCAGTACCTCACCGTCTTGATTCCCGTGGCTTTGTAGTAAGTCTTGAAGTCAGCTAGTGTAAGCCCACCAGATTTCTGCTTTCTCATTGTTAGTTTTGCTTTCTAGATCCTTAGTATATTTCCATGTACATTTTAGAATCGGCTTGTCACTTTCTTCAGGAAACCTGTTTGGATTTTCATAGGGATTATGTCGAATCTATGTGTAAATTTAAAGAGAACAGATGTCTTAGTATCTGTCCACAAACATGGTATATTTTCATTTATTTATTTCTACCTTTATTTTTAAATTTTTTTCTCAGCAGTATTTTGTCATTTTCAGTTTAGAAGTGTTGTTCATCTTTTGTTAGATTTATTCCTAGATTTTTTAAAGCCTCTTATAAGTGGTACTGTTTTATTAATATTATTTTTCAGTTTCTCATTGCTAGTGTATAGAAGTACAATTGATTTTTGTATCTACAAAGTACTTTGTGTCTTGCAACATTAATTAATTGACATATTAGTTCTAGTAGCTTTTTTGTAAATTCTCTAATTTTCTACATAAACAGTAATGCCATGCATAAATAATAGTAGTTCTATTTTTTAATCTTTATGCCTTTTTTCTTGCTTTTTTGAGTTGCCTAGGACCTGGGCCTCTAGTACCACAATGAATAGAAGTGGTTAGAATGGACATCTTTGCCTTGTTCCTGATGAAGGGGCAAGGATTTGTTGTTTCGCATTAAGTGTCATGTTAGTTGTAGACATTCTGTAGCTCTTTATCAGGTTAGGAAATTCAAGTTCCCTTTTTGTCGGGGGCTCCCTAGACTGCCCTCAGGCTTCGTTATTTGCTAGAAGGACTCACAGAACTCGGAAAAGCTGTTATGCTCATGCTGTGGTATCACAGTGAAAAGATGCAGATTAAAGTCAACAAAGGTAAAAGGCACATAAGGCAAAGTCCAGCGGAAACCAGGTGCAAGCTTCTAGCTGCCCTCTCCCAGTGGCATAGCATGGACAGGGCTTAACCTCCCAGCAGTGAGAACGTGTGACATGGGACAGCTTGTACAGAGTACTTGTCAACCAGGGAAGCTCGCTGGAGCCTTAGCATCTCATATTTTCATTGGGGGTCAGTCATGTATGCACGGGGTACCCAGCAGTTGACCTTAGTTACTCAATCTCCAGTCTCTCCGGAGGTCAGGCTCGTAGAGCTTGGTCCAAGGCCCCATCACAGATCGCATTGTTAGCGTAAACTGTCTCGTGTGGGCCTTGGCCCCAGGTGTACAGAAACACTCGTTATCGGGCAGGGTGTTCCAAGAGCTTGGTGGTCATCTCCCAGGAACTGATCCAGGGCCAGTTTCTTTGTCATATGTAGAATTGGAACACCCTAGACCTGCCGAGTCAACCCTTTCCTGCACACTTTCTAATCCTAGCTTGCTGAAAGTTTTTATAATGAAGGAATCTTGAATATTTCAAATGCTTTTTCTGTATCTGATGAGGTGATCATGTGGTTTTCATCCTTTCTGGTAATGTGGTGTGGTTAGAATGTTCATAGTGCCACATGGATTCCAATACAAGGCTCATTGTTTCAGAACCAATATTTTTCCTCTTATTAGCCACTTATTGACAATTATAAAGCACCCATTCATTCCACCTGTATTTACTAAACACTGAATGCCACGCACTCATCTGGGACCTAGGGCCACAGAACATACACAACTTATGAAGTCGAGGCCCCCGCTCTCAGAGTGAGCGCTCCAGCGGAGCAAGGCAGACGGTAAACAAGTTAACTAGTGAGATCGTTCCAGACCGTGGTGATTGCCGTTAAGAAGACGAGCAGGCGCTGTGGTGGAGAAGGCCTGTGTGAGGTGGGAGGGTCGGGGGTGGGGGGCCTCTGTGAGCGGGTGGGATTGCACCTGGCCCTGAAGGTGGAAGAAAACACAAGGCGGTGGGGGGAGCCCCGGGGCAGGTGCCAAGTGCTGAGGCTTAGGACCTGAGACGAGGCCCTGCCATCAGTGGGTATTTAGAGCCTTGTGCTTTTACAGGTCAGTTTTTTAAGATAGTACTCATATATCACATATATGACATAACACATGCATGTGTATGTTCAGCGACACTTCTCCATTGGGGTAAAACAACCAGCTTCTTGGGTTTGTTGAACCTGGAATAGTTGGCCTCGCTGCCGATGGGTAGGGAGTGGCGTCAGCAGGTAGGGGGGTCCCGTGTCCTTTCCTGCAGCCTGCAGACTGTGCTCCTCCCGCCACGCGCTTTGGTGCAGGGTGTGCAGTCCGCCTTGTAGTAAGTGCCCGCAGGAGGTGAGTGGGGCGGTCACTGGGCCCAGAGACAGCAGCTCTGCTCTGCAGCGGCACAGCAGGCTCGGAACAGGCGTGCGGGGTCACGTGTGCCCCCTTCTGCTTTCAGACAGAATCCTGTTGTGTAAGTAAATTACATGTCTACTGATTTTTGCTCTTTAGATCTAAGCTGGAACCAGAACCAAATACAAAGCCAAGAGAATCCATGTCTTCTGAGAAAGTTTCACAGACTCTTTCAAAAGACTCTGAAGAAAAATCTGTCACTGAAGAATATCCAGGTATGAATTAAAATCAAAATCTCGCCTGTCTCTCTTCCTTATGACATGTTGGCAAAAACATAAAGCAGAACAAAAAGGAACCTGGCCCCAGACATCTCATGGTGTTTGTATTTGCATAAGCAAAGGAAACACGGAAGAGGGAGCTGTTTTTGGTCACAGCTAGATCCTAATGACTGCTGCTGGGGCAGGGTGGGAGGATCCTTGGCACCTGGGAGCCCTTGAGCCAGCAAGGTCCAGAGAAAGCACCTGGGCCACCGTGCACAGTGTTGGGGGTGCTACCTCCCCTGCGCCCCTGCGGGGCTCGTCCCGGTGATCTTGGTATGCTGTCAGCACTAGCTTGCGTGGTGGGCCTGACCATCCTGCCTCTGGGTGGAGCACGTAATTTCAGCAGCCTTGATCAGCCAACTGAGTGAACAGGACAGAGCGCAAGTCTGGGTTTCCGTGTTTCCTGTCTTTGTGTGTGCTAGCTGGCCCAACTTCAAAACTTACTACAAAGCAACAGCAATCAGGACAGTGTGGTACCGACACAAGGATGGACATATGGATCAATGGATTAGAATTGGGAATCCAGAAATAAATCAAGTGGCTCTGGTCAGCTGATTTCCAACAAGGGTGCCAAGACCATTCAGTGGATATCCACATGCAAAAGAATGAGGCATGACACTCAAGTCACACCATGTATAAAAAGTAACTCAAAATAGACCGAAGGCCTACACAGAGCTAAAACCCTAAAACTTACAAGAAAACATGGGGCTAAATCTGCCTGGTCTCAGACTGACAAGGCTATGACACCAAAACACAAGCAACAATTAGGTAAACCAGCCCTCATCAAAATTAAAAGCGTTTGTGCTTCTCTTGTTAAAGAAAGAAAGTGAAAAAACCCACAGAATGGGAGAAAATATTTGAAAATCATATCTGACCAGGGATCTGTATCTAGAACATAGAACTTTTACAACTCTGTAATAAAATGGTAACCTAATTTTTAAATGGACAGAAGGGCTGAATAGAAATTTCTCCAAGGAAAATACACAGACGGCCCATGAGCGCAGGACACGACGCACAGCACCCTTGGTCGTCAGGGAGAGGCAGATCCAACAGCAGCAAGTGAGGTTTCACTCCACGCCTACCAGGATGGCTGGGGTGAAGGGGCAGATAATAACCAGTGTTTGCAGGATGTGGGGGATCAGAACCCTCACGGGTAAAAGCTCTCCAGGCAGGGGGACCGGCCAGTGAGAAGGTCTAGGAGGGAGAGATGAGCTTGGTATATTCAAACACACGTGCACACACCTGCACATACACAGACACTCGCAGAGGGAGGCACCAGTGAGAATGGTACAGGGAGAGGTGAGAGATGGAGGTGGGGGCCTTGATCACCCAGGGCTTCAGCAGCTGTGTAACGGTCTGGCTCTGAGTCTGTGTGTAGAGAGAAGCCCCTGGAGGTCTTTAAGCTGAGAGTTCACATTTTAAAACCTCTCCTGACTGCGGTGTGGAGTTGGAGTGAGAAGAAAGTGGAGCCAAGTAGACTTGTTGGGAATCTACTGCAGGAGGCCGGATGCAGCCAGGTGAGGTGTCTCACCTGAGGGAGGCAGCGGTGGAGGCCGAGGTGGCCACGGGGAGAAGGGCCCAACCTCCGGCCGTACTCAGGAACTGAAGATTCCCAGCAGCTGGGACATGAGATGTGAGGGACAGAGAGCAGTCAGGGCTGACTTCTAGGTTCAGGCTTGAGCACCTGGGCGGACTGGGATGAGGAAGGCGGGAGAGAGACCAGGTTGGCAGCAGGGCTGGGAGGAGCGGGCCGGGAGCAGAATCAAAGCTCTGGTTACACAGGCGAGATCTGAGATGCCCGTTGGCTTTTCAGGTGAAAACAGTGAGTCTGCTGACGTGAGCCTGGAGCTCAGGGCATAGCTCGGGGCCAGAGGTGTGTGGGGGTCCTAGGAAATAATAGGCAGGCTAGAGGCACTGGCCGGAGGCGTCACCTAAGGGGAGCATGTTGGAGGCAGGGTGGGGGCGGGAGAAGCCTCTGTGGCGCTGCCCTGTTCTGCACGGCCTTGGACATTTCGTCTCTGTCCCCACCTCGATGCTGGCGGGTAGATCCCGTTCCCCACACCCAGCTGATCCCTCCTAGGGGTCACGTATCTGCCCTTTCCTCCGTGCCTGCTGGAAGACAGTCTCTTCCTGTCCGTGGACATTGTGCTTAGGTTATCTACGGTTAGCAGAAAGATTTATAAAACCTGGGCTGTTTGGTTATCCTTTTGCTTAGGTTTTCAGTTTTTTCATTTCGCTTTTGAAACATGAGGTGTAACTTAGACAAAAAGATTTTAGGACTAAGGGGCAAAGTTCTAGGTGGAGGGCGGGTTCTTGCTTGTCATGCTCCTGTTTCCTGAAAGAGGCACTGGTCGTGTTGCTTTTTCATTTAATCAGCACAGTAGAGCGCCTCTGAGGTCACAGCTGACCTGTGCACATCCGACACTTAGGTCTTCCTCCATATTCTTGCTCAGCCAGGTGAGGTCTTTGTGGACCCATTTATAATCTGTTTCCTGACATTGGTTTCTGCGAAGACAGGTGTGGCTGTTTATACTTCCTGCACTTCTCAAGTGAGCCGTGGGTCCTGGCCTCGGAGAGCTCACAGTCGACAGGGAGGATGAGACTCCCGCCCCGGAGAAAGCGAGTGGTGTCGTCAGAGGGGGCACCTGTAGGAAGGACAGTCACTCAGAGGGTCAGGGGACTTCAGGAGGAGGTGGCCCTGAGAAACGAGTCTGGACCTGAAAACATGGAAGCTTAGAATGTTCCAGGCAGAGGGAACAGCATGAGTAAATGCTCAGAAGCCAGAGAGCCTGGGCGAGACATGGAATGTAGTCAGGAAAGAAAGGACTTCTGGGTCAGTAAAACTCACAGGCAAGGAGGGGTGGGCCTTAAAGGTGGGTGGGCCAGACCGTACAGGCGGCCTTGAGTGCAGGACCAGGGAGTCTGGGCCCGGGTCTCTTGACCCTGCGGCGTGCAGGAGGTCTGGGCGGAGCGCTGGTGTGGGAACGCGCGCTGCAGGCTGATCCTTACGGCTGCAGGTCAGGATGGCTCCAGGTCAGGATGGTTCCAGATGGCGAGTGAGCACGTGTTCTCTTAACAAGCTTTCCGTTCTAGCTCAGAGCTCGTTTGTGCTTGCTTCCGATGTGGTGTTTCTGTATTGCTAATTTGGTGTTCTTGGCCTTGAAAAACATAAAAGTGAAGACTTGAGGTGGATACCATAATGAGGTCAAGTAGGAGACAGAGGGCTGGGAGGAGGTGAGTGACAAGTGCAGATGTTCCTACCTGAAGAAGATTGTCAGGAAAGCACCTCATCAGCCTCTAAAGATGCTTTCAGCCTGTCTTTTATAAATACGTCTTTCATATCAAAATTATGTATGACATTTATATGTGCTGTATTTATTATATCTAAATTATATATAAATGTGTCTTTTATAAATATGACAGTTCTGGCAAAAACAGCCATCTTTTAAAAACTTGCACAAAGTCGTGGGATGACACGGAGTGTTTCTGTGATGATGTATCCAGAGTAATGACCATCCCTGGAGCACAGGGCCTGCCTAGCCTGCTTTCTCTGAACTGGCGCTGTCGTTACGTTCTTTTCCCTTATACATCTCAAAACAAAAACTCTGGACTTTTGTGCATCTCATGGAGCTGAGAGCAACTGTGGGGAATGTACTGAGTTTGAGGAAGAGAGGGAAAAGGAGTCGTGTTTGCCTTTGAGTGCTTGGCAAGTCACTGACAAGCCCAGAGGCACTGTTGAGACACCAGACACAAAGTCACCTGTAGAAGGAGCGGCCCCCTGCCTTCCACCCACCCCCTGCTCCCAGCCCCCCGGCGATGAGCCGCGCGGGCCTCTCTAACACAGCCCGGGGCAGCGCAGCCCCTTCCGGGTCCAGCCTGTGTTTATGTGCTCATGGTCAAAGAGTTCCTAGGTTAAAATTCACTCACTCCCCGCCAGTCAGCAGTCCGTGCCCAGGTTCCTGTCCTGGACTGCACCAGAACGCTCCCAGCATGGACCAGCGTGCGGACCTTTGTACTAGCAGAAGATCCAAAACAACCAAGGGCTTATCAGTGGAGTTAGATTACATAAAGAGTTCCTTTCAGTGGGATGTTGTGCCTCAATTTAAAAGAATGAGGTAGACTTATGTGGGGTGACGTAGGATAATCACCAGGATGCACTGTTAAGTTAGAAGAAGCAAGTTTTAGAATGTTACCGTTGATATCTTTGTGAAAAGCACACTACCACACACACAAAACTACGTCATTTCTAGGCCGAGGTTGGGGGTGGGCGGAGGATTGTCCATTTGGTTTGTGACCTTTGCTGAGGTCATGGCAATACTGAAACCGCATAGGCCCTCTACCCTGCACGCATGTGCATGCGTGCGCGCACACGCTCGCACACACACGGGTCTAAACATTGTAAGGAATTGTGCTGCGGTGCCTGAATGTTAACCAACAGTGATGGACAAAGCTTTGTGATTCCGTTACATCTCATGTTTCTAAATATGCCTGCATCCTAAGCCAACATTCTAAAGTGAATATTTTGCCTTCTGTCTGTTTTCAATTTTTTTTTTAAACAGAAAAAATTCCGGCTGAAGCACAGCCTGAATTGGGAACCTGGGGAGATGGCAAAGGCGAAGATGAATTATCCCCAGAAGAAATACAAATGGTAATGCTTCTCTCTGCCTAGTCATGTATTTTTAACTAGTTTCAGTAAGAACAGTTCATTGAGTAAGAGGCCATCCTAAATGCCCTTGCCGTAACTTCTATACGGAGTCTTAAAAGTTATAAATAAGTATTTTAGGTACAATTATCCACTTGATTTCCTAATTCTTAGTATGCTTTTCATACATTTTAAATTTGCAGTAGCATAATTAAAGAAGAAATTGCCTTGGAATAATTTTACTAATATTAGATGTCTTTTCAGCAGCAGTAAAACAGTCTTCTGTTCTAATTGGGTCTTTTATAATTGCTTCTGTGGTGCTTTTTAATTGTTTGAACCTCTGGTGTGTGGTAATGTGAAGAAGGCGTAAGTAATGACTGAAAAATGAAAAGAGTAACCACCTTAACTGCCAATATCACCTTCTTTTAGTTACCTCTCCCTTGGTTGCCAATTTTAGTGTATCATCTCTGGGTGAATTTCAAAAGAAAAGTGACCAATTTGGCCAGACCCCTGCGCATTTGTTTCCGGCAGGGTCCGTGTACAGCTCAGAGCTGGCCTGGCCGAGCTCTGTGTGTTTTCTGCTCAGCACTGCTTCACAAACATTTGTTCACCAGATGAGCAGTTTCCCCTTAAGATCATCACTTTAAGAGCGTGAAGCTGATCCCAGGGACGATGCTGTTGGCTATGACTTGGGGCTTGCTTTGGGGGGCGCTCCCTCAGAGCCTCTAGGACTACCTTTGGAACGAGAAGCAGAGCTGTCTGTTCCTTGATAGACAAACACAATTCTGAGCTCAGGAATAGCTCAGACACCGTAAAGCAGCCTGCCAGGCTCCTGCCTTCCTCCCCAGCTTCTTTCGTGGCCCAGAATGCACCCCTGCCTTGGAGCACGTGCTCAGCGCTCACCAGCCCAGCAGGTGTGTGACCCGGAGCCCGGTGCTGTAGAGGGTGCGGAGGAGGACGGCAGTACGACCCCAGCCAGCCAGTGTCACAGCCCAGTCCAGCTCAGAGAGAATGAACAGGGCGTTGGCCAGGGAGCAGGAGTGAGGACAGAGAGGAGAGAGATGCTGGGGGAGTGGACTGGACTTGGTGATCGTTGAGGGCAGTAGGGCGTGTGAGGAAGTGAGGGGAGGGGAAAGAAGCTGGGTGGGGCTTTCTAACTTGTGAAAACAGAACAACGGCGGTCAGGGGAGGGCTGGGCAGGCGATGGTCCTCCCATCAGGGACAGGTGTGAGGTGCGGGGCCTGGGGGACATCTGTGGGAGATGCCTGGTGGGCAGTGGGATCCCAGGCTTGAGTCTCAGGCTAGAGACGTGACTGTGGGAGACATCTCACTGCAGGTGTTGGAAACAGCGTGTACCAGGGAGAGAAAGGCAAAGGACGTCCCCAGGGGGACACAATGCTGGAGGGCAGGCCAAGGCGGAGAAGCCAACAGACTGAAGAACAGTTTGACCATGCTCCATTAGAGCCAAGTCATGGCCAAATCTCATAGTTTTCCTTCAATTTATACAAAGTAACTTTATGAATGTAGTCACATGACCACAGATCTTTGCTAGAGATAAAAACATGTGAAGCACTGTCTCTTCAGTAAGAAAGAATGCATTTGTATTTAGGCAGAACTTAGCTTCTGTTTAGAGCTTTTTAAAAATACACTGCACCACTTGAGAAAGGAAGCAGCTACAAGAACAGCAGCCTCCGTTGCTCGCCAGGGAGCCGCCTGGCCCCTGCAGGCGGGGGTGGGCAGCAGCAGCTTGTGCACGTCGCAGCCGTGTGCTTGGAAGCTGCTGGGTGCGTGGGGGCTGCACGGGGAGGCCAGCGGGAAGGAGATCTCATCAGCTGCTGCTCGGCCCCAGGGAGAGATGGTGCAAGAGCATGGGCTCTGGGACTTGACAGAGTTGGATTTGAATCCTCTTTACATCACTTCCTGTCTGTGTAATTTGGGGGCGGGAAAATGAGCCCCACTGAACTTCAGTTTGGTAAGACTCACCCACCCACCATGGGCTGCCGGGAACGCGGTCATGTACGTACGAGCGCCCAGCAGAGCGCAGGGCCCACGGCAGCTGCTCGGTTAACGGCTCCTCAGAGCAGAACAGGGCTGCTGTGCCCGCGCGGAACTGCGTTCGCTGTGTGTGTTTGGAATGTGATTTAGCTGATGCCCATGAAGAACATGTGTTTGAAGGCTCTTCTCTCCGTAATGACTGTGGCTGCCCTAAGCCTCCATTTCATCGTACTGTCCTAACTGGAGCACCACCTGAAAACACGCCAGTGACCACTCCAAATAATGTGAGCTAGTTTGGTGTCACAATATCAGTGACTAAAGCAGTCAGAATCAGCAGGACCTCCCTAATTTATATTGGGTTACTGCAAGTGGACTGGGCAGAAGGCTGTATTGTTCAGTACTTTTATGACAAGCAAATTAATGTTCAGGTAACTTCTTTCTTAATTGGGACTAATAAATAAGTCCCATATCTTACAGTCTGACTAACCCAAATCTTATTTAAAAGGCTCAATCCTGAAAGTGAAGAGAGAGAAATACCACACCATTGGTTTTAAATTGGGAAGTATTATAGCAAATTGTGGTCCTAATTCATAATCACAGCTTTGGAATTTTTCCTCAGGGTAAAATAATGAACTAAGCCCTATAATAGCAATTTAATTCATTATTTCACCCAAAGGAGCAGTTGTTACACTTTCCAAAATGGCTACAGAGTAGTATATAATCTGCACAGTACATTTCCACTCATCCCTGTTGATACAGGTGTATCCATGCCTTTGAGTTAATATAAGCAGATGTTTTGTGGTCAGGCTGAGTGCAACCGAATGGTTTGTGATGTTATGCAGAGAAAATACCTCCTTTCTGAGCCCACGTTCATATTACTTACCTCAGTGAAGTCAGTGCACTTACTGATGTATTCCTTGGGATAATTTTTAAAGACATGAATGTGACTTCTGTTCTTTAATTAGCATGAAAAGTGTCCTTAACCCTTGTCCCCTGAGGTTGGCCCCTGGAAGCACCAGGTGGCTGGTTGGCAGGGCTTATGGTCTGTGGCCAAGCGTAGCTTACTCATTGAAAACAGAAGAATTGTTGATAGGATTTGAGCACCACCCGGGTGAAAGCTGGGGAGGGTCACAGGGCACAGCTGGGGTCAGGTGAGGGTCACAGGGCCAACGGTGTGAAGGTGTTTGGCACAGATAAGGCGTGTCCGGAAGAGCCCAGGGGGTTGGGCGGTGGGCTCCTGAGCCAAGGGTGTGGGCTGGTTTCTCAGCTGAGCCCCCTGTGGGTTCAGGCCCCTGTGGGCACATAGTCTTGATTCAGTGAACTGCTCTCAGGTCTTTGCAGACACTTCTCCTGGCCTCACTTTAACTCAAAGGCCTTTGTAGGAGTGACTTTCTTTTTAAAACTATAGTGAAGAGGATTAGATTAGAACAGGATTTCTGTAACAGTGTATTCACAGTGTGGAGCTGTATCCTTTAAACAAGATTATAAACCCTTCTGGGGGGCCCTGTTGGAAAGTCTGACTGACTTCAAATGGAATAAGGCAGTTAAGTCATATCGCCTAACACGCATGTAACACTGTGCGCCCAGTGCCGCTCTGAGCACTTGAGCATTTATTAATTTATGCTGCCTCACTGTGGTTGGGACTGTGGCTGGCCCCATTTTACAGAAGACACCCAAGTCCTGGACTCTCAACCATGATGCCTACCACTCTTGTCGGGGGGTGGGAGGGTTGCTGTGGGCATCGGTCTGCACTGAGGGAGAACACTGAATTTTGGTGTGAAACCCAAAGAGTGTAGAGTGAAACGGGCCACGGATGGAGCCCAGCAGGATAGGCAGCTGCTGTCCTGCTTGTCAGGCCCTAGCTGCCCGCCTTCCCCATCATCCAGGCCCCTTGTCCCCCTTTCAGTGACGCAGAGATGAAGACGGCAGGTTTGTCTTCCCTGGGCCTCGGGTAGCCCTGTCCTTGGTGCTGATCTTGGAGACCTGGCCACAGTCAGCACTGCTCCAGGGAAGGCCCCTGCCTGTGTGAGCTGCTAGCGAGCCCCAGGGGGCGCTGTGTGCACGTTTCTCATGCTTTGAGAGTGAAGTGACCAGGAGTCTCAGTGGCCCACTAGAATTTGGAGCCAGGGTGGGGAAAGAGGCCTTCAAAGCATTTAATGACTATTTTGAATCCAGAATCTAAGTCCCAAAGAGACTAACAAGCAGCTTACATGTGTTTGTATATGTCTTCCTCCTCACAACTCTATTAAGTACTACAGTTATTCTCAGTTTACTGATGAAGACAGAGGCACAGAGAGGTTAAGTTATCTGCCCAAGCGCATACAGCTTAGCAGATAAAGGAGCTGTCGCTCCCCACCTTCAGGAGCAGGCAGGAAAGGATGAGAATCACCAACCACATCTGTTCACAAGGAGAAACTGACAGGCCACACAGAAGGCTCATGACTGGTCCTGTTGGGGTCGAGAGGTTCTTGTCTTGTCACAGAAGGAATTCAGAGACAAGAAGCAGGGGTTAAGAAAACAAAGCAAGGATTTATTAAGAGAGAGGTAGTATGCTCTCAAGGAAAGAGCAGGCAGACCCAGGTGGGTGGCTGCCTTGGCAAGCATGTTATGTGAGTGTAAAAATGAATGGCCTGAAGCCTGGTGCAAGTGAGTGTGGTCAGCAACCTGGCCACTACCTGGTCTCCCTGAGCCCTGCCAGATCTCACTGAATGGCTGTGGGAAACCAGTTCTGTTGTTTTTTTAGGTGCAGTTTCATTGTAACTGCAGCCCCCTAAACGGAGGCTGCTCTCCATGAAGCCGGCTGGCCGTTGGCAAACCTCTCACCCAAATCACAGTTAGACCCCTGAGGCGTTTGTTTCTCTCACTTCCTCTGGGAACTAGGTATTTCTCAGGTGGCATCAACAAGCCGTGGGCTGGGAGGAAATCAGAGCCAGAATCTGACCGACTCCTGACCTCCTGACCGTGGCTAACAGGAGCCCTTCAGAAGTAACAATTCCCAAGAGCCCTAAAAGGAAACCACGTGCCCCTCAGTCGGGGAGCAAACAAAGGAAGTTTTGTTCCTAAGGAACGTTCAGTAACAAACTACTTCAAACCCCTAGTTAGTTTTGTTTAGGAACAGTTTAAAAGCATTAAAGGACTGTAGACTTAAGAGGGTAGAGCCATATTTTGTCATTAGAAAAATTCAAAGAAAATGCCCTCTGCCTAAATAAATAAATAACCCTGAGTAAAGTACATGTGAGAATTAGTCAAATTAGCACCTACATGCTGAGGTAATTGTATTTCGTCTTAAATACTGGACTCTAAGGTAACTGTTGACAGCTGATACTTTAAAAAGTGCAACTTTTATTCTCTTAAATAGCCTTTTTGATGCAGATATGAAGAGCCATCGCAGGACCTTGCCACCAGCCAGCAAGCTTGCTGGTAGTTGGGGCTCCCTGCAGGGGGCTGCTTCTGGAAGCTTTGCAAACCTGCCGGTCCTCTGACCCAGTGGGTTTGGGGTGGAGCAGAAGACTCTGTGTCTTGATGAACAGTGCCCTGCAGTATTTCAGGCCCTGCACTGGGCTTGGTGTCCAGAGGAGAGAGCCGGCCCCGCCCCAGGAGGAGAGACAGGCCCCTAAACAAGTGTGGGGGTGTAGTGATGTGGGCAAGTGCAGAGGAGCCTTTTAAAGAGAGAGGGGCTGAGAGAACATGGCTAAACCTGCCCTGCTGTGTCTGAGGACAAAGAAGGCACCTGGGCTGGATCTCTTGGGACCAGTCGGAGTTCCTCAGCCAGTGGGTAAATCCACCATAGACTGAGAGCTGGCCTGGGCAGAGGGAGGTGGGGGATGATGAAGGCAGAACTTAAAGACGGTGGGGAAGGAACGAAGGGGCTGGAGGGTGGAGAGGACTGTTAGTGTTAAGGAGCTCTGCCTAGGGGAAGTGAGGCCTCCCCAGGTGTGTCCGGGGAGTGGGAGTGGGCCAGAGGTGAGGGGTGCGGGATGCAGGGATGGGTGGAGATGGGTAGCAAAGGGCGCTGCAAGGGCAGAGGTGAGAGGACACAGCTCCCCTCCCTGGTGAAACGAGCCTCTGTGTGCGGAGAGCCTGGCACGCCCTGGTGGTCTTTCTGAGTTCTCTAACCATCATCATCTCCCTCCATTGTTGCTTCACTAAGCAAATGATAACCAGGTCTTCAGTTGGACTGGGAGCCTCTGGAGAGCAAGAGCTCCCTTCTCTTCATTCCTTACTTGGTGCCCAGCACAGAGAGTGCCTCAGAGGATGTGTAGGTTTGACCACAGCTTGAATAGATGTCAAAAAAAGAACATGTGTGTGGCTTTTTCAAATGTGTGTGGGTTCAATACGTTTCCCACCCACAATCACAGAAAGTTTGGGACACACACAACTTAGTAGATGGCAGAAAATGGTTAACGTTCTAAGGGGCTTTCAGAAGACGCTAGGCCAGGGTTAGAAAGCGGAGAAGTACCTCTGAGCTCCAAGGCCTAGGACAGTATCTCTGAGAAGGTGACCTGTGAGCTGGGGACGTGTGGGACAGGTTGGGGAGGAGATGGAAGAGTGGGCACATGTAGACAGAACTGCCTTCATGGACCACACGGTGAGAAGCTCTTCTGGGCCCCACACAACGGTGACACTTGCGATGCGCCATCCCTGCGCCTGGCCAGTATCGAGCGGGCAAGGACGGTCAGGGTGGTGCCCTTGCCCAGACTGAGCCCCGAGGCCTGGTGCCAGTCCGAGCACTGGGAATACCGCTCCTCCGGCTACCGGGCCTCCGTCCCTGTCGTGGTGGATTAGCAAAGGCAGGGCCCTGAAGTCAGACCGCATGCCAGTACAGTCCTGCCCCTGCCCAGCTCTCGGCACAGCCAGGTGCCCTCCTGCTCTATTTAAACACGAAGGCAGCAGAGGCAGAAAACAAAGGCTGGTAGAGGCCAGAGAGAGGGGGGCAGGCAGGGAGCACGGCTGAGGCCACCCCGCACACCTCTGCACTCTGGTCACAGTCATCAGGCCGGCCTGCAGCTCAGAGGAGTGAGGCGGAGCAGTCCGGCCACAGGCAGCCCTGCTGCTCTGCGGGGCTCTGTGTGCTCCCTAAAGCCTGGGTACTCTCACGCTGACACTCAGTGTCTTGGAAAGAGGGACTTGGTGGTTGATTGTTGGAGGGCAGATCAAAGGTTTCCAGACAGACACGCCTTGCTAGACACTAGCCTTTGGCTGTGTTGCTTTTGAGAGCCAAGTTCAGTATGATGTCATCCTTAATGTATTTGTTTCCTTACAGTTTGAACAAGAAAATCAGCGCCTAATTGGTGAAATGAACAGCCTGTTTGATGAAGTGAGGTACGCACGTGGTTGCTTTGTGAGCTGATGGCCCGGTTTACAACTTCCCCAGAAACTAGGAACTTCATTCATTTACTTCAGTGCCCAGGCATCCACATGTGGCCCTTGGGAGCCGTTTCGGGGGTCAAGAAGACGGCCCGATTTCACTGACTCCCCTCAACTTGTGGGCCAGTGAGGTAGCCCCCCTGCAGGCTGCCACGAGGCTCCCGGGTGCTGCCGCCCCATCCCAGGGGCTCGGTCAGTGACAGCAGACTACACCACCTGTGATCTCCGCCACGTGGGCGCGGTTTACATTTAACTCCTCTGAGATGAAAGGGGACCTCTAACCTGCTGAGCGGTAACAAAATTGGGTCATCGACATAGTCTGACGTTTTCTTTTGAATCCCCACCCCATGTCACTGTGGTTGCAGGGACAGAGCTCAGCGTTAGAGGAGGGTTTGCAGCTGGGGCCCAGGCAGGGGCCCCTCAGGTCAGCTTATGCAAGGGGGGAGGGTGGATTTCCAAACAGTCCAGTGTGCCCCACTAAACTGAGGGACATTAAAAGGGATCTAGTGAGTGGAGTGAACCTTCTCTGCCCGTGTTCTCCTCCCCTGAGCCTGACACGGTGTCCCCTCCCTCTCTCATGGATGACGTGGTGTTCCCTCTCCCCTCTGCCTTCACTTAGAAGACATGATTTCTTTGGAAATGTATGACACTGCTGTTAAGATCACCAGGTACTAACAGGTAATGTGTAATCTATTTTTTTTATGAAGGCAAATCGAAGGGAAAGTGGTTGAAATTTCCAGACTCCAGGAGATATTCACAGAGAAGGTTTTACAACAGGTAAGAAAAACCAAAGTTGTTTTAAGTTTTAGCTTCAAAGAGGAATAAACTCAGCTCGGGGCATTTCTCCCGAGGTCGTCCGGCCTCCGCAGCTGGCGCACCCAGTGCCCGGTGCACGCGGGGAGGGCCTCCCAGTCCCGGGAGCAGCCTTGGCAAACGGGAGTGGCTCTCCACGGGCCCCTGTCCCGTGCAGCAGAGCGCCCAGATGAGGGAAGCAGGCGATCTTGGTTCTGGATGCCCTCGGGGAAGCCGGGCAGCCTCTCTGAGCTATGGTTTTTTACCTATAAATTGGAGTGACCCTCGCGTGGTTGTCGTGAGATTCAGAGAAGACCCCCCGGAAAGCACCCAGCTCAGTGCCCAGTGGTAGCAGCTTTTCAGTCAGTGATGTTACAAGTGCTGACTCGACTGTCTCAAAATACCAGGTCCCTGCCACCTCAGTGTCCTGTCCTCACGGGACACGTGATTGTTCTTGTGAGCGGATTTTCATGTTACCCAGCCGATAAATGGCCCAAAATTTTAGACACCTGAT